ATCTCAGTTGTTCTCCTGACTGAAGTTTGGCCCGTGTATAGCATCCTGCTATGTGATTGCATTGATATTAAAATTAGTTCAAAAAAATGCTTCAAATGAATTGCAACTCTAAATCCGATTATGGATACAAAGTAACAGTGATCATTGGTTTTAGATAGATGACTTATGTTCTTTACTGACACTTGCCAAATTCCAGCAGAAATGGCAAATGTAACATGGGCCTGTATATGGTACAAAGTGGATACTGTGTCTACAGAGAATTAGTTATTCAGTGTTTTTTTAAGGATCATGGAAGCAAACCTCTGAACTGAAATTCAAGTGTGATAAATCCAAACAGTCCAGGGTAAAATAAAAATAAAAATACATACCTCACAGTAACTGCACTTGTAGAGTTTCTTTCTGGTGTGGAGCTGTTGGTGGACTCTGAGGGATCGTGGAGATTTAAAAGCCTTATCACACAGGTCACATTTATAAAGTTTCTCCTCAGCGTGTGTAAACATGTGTTGTTTTAAGCTGTTGTATGTCACAAACAGTTTGCCACACTGATCACAGTAGCACACGTCATTTTTGGTGTGAATGCGTAGGTGTTTATTTCGGCTCTGTTTGCCGGTGAAGTGTCTTCCACAAATTCCACAACCGTACGCCTTAATTCCAGAGTGGGTAACTTGATGAAGCCGTAAATAGCTACTGTAAGGAAAATCTTTACCACACTGATCACAGGTGTACGGTTTAACTCCACTGTGGATTAACTGGTGTCTTTTTAGGTTTCCAGCCTGGGTAAAAGTCTTTCCACACAAGTCACAGTTGTATGGTCTCTCCCCAGTGTGGATGCGTCGATGTTTTGTCAAATACTCAGCAAGGATAAAAGATTTTCCACACAAGTCACAGCTGAATGGTCTCTCCCCAATGTGTCTAAGCCGATGTGTTTTTAGTGAATCCTTTCGAGAAAAATCTTTCCCACACTCATCACAGCTGTACGCTTTAACACCACTGTGGATGATTTGGTGTGTTTTTAAGTGTCCAGCCTGGGTATAAGATTTTTCACACAACTCACAGCTGTAAGATTTAACTCCACTGTGGATGGATTGGTGTGTTTTTAGGCCTCTAGGACGGGTAAACCCCTTCCCACACTCGTCACAGCTGTATGTTTTCTCTCCCTTTCTTCTGTGAGGTTTGTCGGCCTCCTGAGAGCGCTGATTTCTCGCTCCATGTTGGTCCTGCAGTGACAGAGATACAAACAGAGGCAGTGAGTGAAATGCAGTCGTGGAACAAACTGAACCTTCCAACTTCCTCCATTAGTGGAGTCAAAGATGTCACTAAACACACTGCAGTCAAGTCAAGACAGATTTCTTTGTATAGAACATTTAAAAGACATCAAGTGTCAGCGAAAGTGTTGAACAGAGAGATAATCTAAGGAAATAAAAAAATAAATGAGGTAAAGACAATACTACAAGATTCATTATGCCAATTTACTGTTTATAAGGTTGGGGAAACCTGCAGTCAGCTGAGACTGAAGAAGTCACTTGGATGAGTGACGAAACGTTTCTCCCACAAAACGCTACGTGCAGATGAACACAATAACTTGGTTATGGCGTTCCATGTTTGTCCTGCCAGCATCGTGCACCCTGCTGTTAAGTGCTGGAGTCAACTTTACACCCTCTTCACCTGGGGTCTTGCCTGGTATAATAGACCCCATTCTCTATCGAGCATA